CAACTTGTTTTGTGTATCCTTCCAGGATGATTCCAAACACATACGAAGTCAGACAATTAAGTTCACGAACTGATCCTAGACAAAGTGCTACACACACCTCATTGCTGAATATCAGCACAGTCACCTTCCACGTATGCCTGTTGGGGAGTTATGTGCTGATACCAGTGCCTAGCCTACTCTTCAAAGCAATTTTGAAACTCTTTTCCTGGAATGGCCATCAGAGCTGTCATCGTGCACAATTAAGTCTACAAACGCATCCTAGAAAAAGTGCTTTATCTGAGGACCTGTCTTTGCCACCAGATTGTGTGCCCTACAGCAGGCAGAGACTGTGCTACATCTTCCTCTCATGTCTCGCATAATGCCTGGCAGAATGGGTGCTCTCTCTCTAAATGTTCAGCGACTGAATGACAGTTGTTCCAGGGCTCCTCCCCAACACACAGTGGGGAAGGACTGTTAGGAGTCTTCATTCAGAAGTGGGAAAAAGTAGGAAGTTGCAGGGCCTCAAAATGGGAGAATTTTCTACCTAGGGGTAATTGGACATAATGCTACCAATTTCACCACTGTCTTTGGGTCAGGACTGTCCTCAGGGGACCCAGCTGTGGGGAAGTTCCGTATTTGCACTACCCCTAGAAGTCCTTGGGAACTAGCTGTTCCACCCTCAGGGGTTTTCCCCTCTTGTGATGCCAGGAACTGACCCATAAAGGAAGTGGCCCTGGCGGGGTCTCTGGATGCTACAGGAGTAAGTGTGCCCAGAGTCTGGCTACGCCAGCCAGGACCTTTTGGACCTCGGAAACTAAGAGGTGGAATGGCTTTAGTAAGAGGGTAGATCTGGGGTGGGTGGGAACTTCCTAGTGTGTGAGGGAAATTGCCCCATCCCCGGAGCTATGGGGTAAGAACTGACCAGTACTTCTTAGCAGCCCCATCACTGTACCCTGGCCAGGACTGTGGGCAGTTTTTGAGCCTGATTCTCTTGCAAAGCCCCCAGACCTTTAAGAGAGGCCCTATATCTGTAGCCTCTGTCTGCCCAATCAACTTCTCCTTCAATGCCTCACTCAGAAACTTACTAAGGCTCCTTTTTAGCCTCAGGTCCAAATGCCCCAGCTTACAACCACTACACCCAAAGGCTTGAGACAAGAAAATAGAGAGGCTAGGAGCATGGGCTCTAACTCAGATATGAGTCTAATCCCAGCTATGTGACTTTGGGTCATTCACTTCACCTCTTGAGATCCAGTTTCTTCAAACATAAAATGAGGATAAATAAATTCGACATCAAAATTAAGGAATCTGTTCAGTGGGAAGCATTATGGAGTTGTTTTCAGAGTGTGGTTCCTGGACCATCAGTATCACCTGGGTACTAGTTAGAACTGCAAATCGCTCCTTCCCTGCTCTGCTGAGTCAGAAACTCTGGAGTGGGGCTCAGATGCCTGTGTTTGGCTAGCTTTCCAGGATAAAGCTGGAGACCTAGTGCCATAGATAAACTTAGATGGGCAACATTTTAAGTGAAGATATTTGGAACATCCACATCTAAAAGGGATTACTATTTAAAATTGACCATCTACTCTTATAAATCAACAAGAAAAAGATAGGAAACTCAGGAAAACCCGAACAAAAGATATGAACAAGCAGTTCACAGGAGGGAAAGCCCCAAAGCCTTACAGATAGAGGAGGAGATTCTACATCTCAGGATTAACAGAGAAAAGCAAGTTAAAACGATAATGAGCTACCACTGCACACCCAAACTGACAGGCAAAAATGACCAAGTCGGATAATGTAAAAGCTAATGAAGATGTGGGGGAAATAGTATCCTTTACACCCTGTAGGTGGAGCTATTCTGGAAGAATTTGGTGAAATCTAACACATAGATGCCCCGCGATCTAGTAATTCTATTCTTGGGTGCAGAGCACAAAGAGATGTTCACACAGGCCCATAAGGATCATGTATAAACACATTCATCACAGTGTTGTCTGTGGTAAAGAGGGAGTTGGAAGCAACCTGGGTATCCATCTCTGGGGAGATGGATAAATAAAACAGTGGATGCTCAGCTTGAAATATTTTGCAGAAACTGGATACAACAGCTAGGTTTTCCCACAGCAACAAAGGTAGACCTTAAAAACACTACGCAGTGAGAAAGTGAATCAATAGAATGAGATTCTCATACAATACCATTTATGTAGCATAAATACCCACTTGAGGGTATTTATGTGTATTTATGCTGGAGGATGTGTATGTCAACAGATATGGGTGGGTGCTCATGGTGGGGAGAGAGAAGAAATGTGAGGAATGTGTGGATTGGGGAGGAGGGAATAAAATAAAATAAAACATCAGAAGGCCTAGCAGGGACCAATGATGATGGCACGATGGGATGATGATTCATCACATGCAACTCTCTGGACCTGAAGTCCTAGTTATAGCACTTGAAAATTGATAACAGTACCTATCTCATGGTAAGTACCATACGTCTGGCCATGGAAGGTTTTGCAAAGTTTTACAAATAAATTTTAGTTTTAGAAGTTTTAGAAACTTCTATACGAGTTTCTGGCCTCCATCAGGCCTTGTTTCTTTTAGTCTCTAAATCTTTCCGCAGATGGTGTCCAGTGCTGTGTTTATCTGACCTCCCCACCTTTCTAACCTGCCTTCTGACCCCAGACCCCCAGATGGCTGTGGAGTCTTGGTGTTTCTCATTTGGGGCTTGAGCACACAGCCAGGCTGTAATAGAGCTTCAAAGGGCGAGTCCTGTTCTTTTTCCCCAAACTGAGCTCCCCGAGGGTCTTCTTAACATCCTCCTCCCCAGTTCTCCTCCCATTGCACCCAGGCAAAACGCTGAGTCAGAAAGTGTTCAATGTGGCAAGAACAGCATTTACTGAGCATCTATCATGTGCTAAACCCTAAGCTAAGGCCTTGACCTCCATTCATCCCCATGATCGCCCTGTGAGGTAGATGGGGCTGACCTCACTGGACAGGTGAGGAAACAGGAGGCATACAGAGGCTAGGACACTCACCAGATAAGAGTCTTGGGTCTGTCTGGCTCCATAATCCAAGATTCCAACCCAAATCGAGCTCCAGATCCAAGATCTGAATAATCAGTTTGTTTAGGGTCTGAAGGCCAGAACTGAGACCCAGATCACCCACCTGAGCCAACTCTCACAGGAGGAAAACCTCTCCTCTGCACAGAGGGGGCAATTTCTGCCATCAGGGGAGAGGATACTGCCATTTACACTCTATGGTAAAAGACCTACTACACTCTTTAGTATAGTCCGTTTGAGGTAATATAAGGAGAATCAGGAGATTCCCTCAAGTCCCTTCCCCTCTTTTTGGACCTCAGTTTCCCATTCTATAAAGAAGGATCAACAGAAGTCTCTAGGTTCTGGAAATTCTTTTCTCAGTCGGCCAGCAGATGGAGCCCACTCTTCATCCCTTTCTCGGCCTCCAGAAAGCTGTGGAGGGAATCTTGTGGAGGATGGTGTGTCCTGGAGCTGAGCTCTCACCTCTAGCGGGACAAAGCAGGATCACTGCCCAGCTCTGGGCTGGCAGAGGGCAGCGCTCTACCCTCGACTCTAGGGTTGAGCTTTGCCCACCCCCTCCAGGACATTCTTGGTACTGCAGGGACCAAGGTCCCCGAAGGCAGGGACCGCGACCCAGGAATGAAAATCCTGGGCAAAGGAGAGGGCCCTGAGGATGGTGGCCCCGCCGGCAAGAGTGAGCGAGAGCCATAAGTAGGCTACAGGAAGACCCTCTTCCATGCCCTCCACATAGACAGAGGCTACAGGTAGTTGTCTTCGGCAGCGTCTGCCCCGCCTGGGGAGTCCTGGGACTCATCGTCATCGCCCTCATTGTCGTCGTCGTCGTCGGGGGCCAGGGCCTCTATATCGTGCGTGATGTCTGCCAGCAGCCGGTGGAAGGCCTGTGCCTCGGGCCGCTGCGCCCCACCATCGTAGCTGCGCACGGCCGACGCCGACGTGGAGCTCATGCTGCGCTTGATGCGGCCGAAGCTGTCGGTGAGGATGCCCCCTTCGCGGATGCCTACGCCCTCCAGAAAGCCCTCGAAATAGCCGATGTCCTGGTCCGGGATGAAGGGCCGCATCCCTGCAGGCCGAGGGGACAGGGTGATCTCTCTGGGGTTTGCCGCTCCCCGTCCCACAGAGGAGCCACCCTCTCTGGAAATCAGAGTTCAAGTTCCCGCTCTGCCACTCACAAGCTGTGTGGCCTTGTCCAAGTTCCTGAACTTTCTGAGCCAGCACATAACAGCACAGTGCTCAACTCACAGTAAACGCTCTTATTAGTGTTAATGTTATTAGGATTGTCACAGTCCTGTTTATTAGTTATATCGCCTTCATTCAAACATTACTCTGGGCATCCCTTTCTTGGCTTGTAAATTGAGATAATTGCACCCATTCTCCCCCCTAAGAATGATGCGAGGATTAAATAACAAGGTACTTAGCAAACACCTAGTGCCCCATAAACTTTAGTTGGCTTTTACTTCCACCCTGACTTGTTATGTGACTCTGCTACTTTTTACTTTACTACTGAGCCTCAGTCACCTGCAAAATAAGGACAAAGCATAGTGTCTAATTCCCAGAATAGAGAGCTTTTAATGAGATAATGCTTGGAATTTGGTAACTGCCAAGTGCATGTTAGCGTCTTAGTATTACTGGTTGGTATTACTGTTGTTAGCTCTCTTTACTAGCTGTGTGACCTTACACAAGTTCCTTAGCCTCTCTGAGCCTCAGCGTCCTCATGGGTAAAATGGGAAGAATCACTCCCTTTCCTTGCTCTGCTGTGACGATCTAATGGCTACACCAGTACTTTGTTGTTCTCAGTGGCTGTGATAAGTCCTTTCCCCTCTCTACACCTCCGGCTCCTCGTCTGCCTCATGAATCCCAAACACTCCTAACCTGGTGCCTGGCCAGGAATGGCACAGGCTAAGCAGGAACCTCAGTGGACCCCAGGGGAAGGTGGGGGCTCACCCAGTAGGAGGAATTTGCGCCGGTCTCCATAGAGCTTCAGCAGCCCTGCACAGTAGTCCTGGATGGGCAGCCCCAGCCGGTACTCCCGTAGTAGCACTGCAAACTGCTGGATCTCAGGGGGCCCCAGTTTACTCCGCAACTGTAGGGGAGGGCAACATTCGAGATCAATCCTAGGGAGCAACCTCCACTCACCCCGCGCCTGGAAAACGCAGAGCCTTCTCTAAGGGGATGTGGGGCCCTGCCTTCCTCTGAAAGCCCTTCCATAGTCTCCTTGGGACATCCAGGCTCCTTGGGCTGCATCTAAGAATGGGACATGGACTCAAGCTGCTTGAGTTCCAATCTTGACCCCCTCACTGATCAGCTCTGTGATTTGGGGTAGGTGACAACCTCTCTGACCCTTGCTTTCCTCATCTGCAAAGGGAGGATAGTGATGACCTCCCTCTTGTGGCTGTTGAAAGGATCAAAAGAAATGATTCATCAGAGGTTCTTGGAATAGTGCCTGGTATACAGCAAGAACTCAATTAATGCAAGTTGACATTATTTAGAGCTTTTTACAAGCTGGAAGTTTACTTCCTAACCTCATCCCTGACCCTGACCTCTGAGATTGTCCAGGATCATGCACGATCCCCAAAACACCCCCGTGTTTCCTCCAGCCTCCAGGCCCACGCTTGTACTGTTCCCTCTGCCTGCCCCATCTCACCGTGACCATGTAATCCTGTAACTGCTCAAGGCCCAGGCCACTGTGGTCACTGCCACTGCAGTGGGAGCCATGGAAAGAGGGTGTGGACGTGCCGCTGTAACATGCTTCAAAAGTGTCCTGGGAGCCATTGCTGCAGGGACAGGGAAACGAGGCTTTCACTTACCTCTCTCCAGCTCCTCTCCCTAAGGCAGGCTGAAGGTGGGAGGGAAGTTACTGATATTCTGAGGCCTCATCCTAGACTCGATTTTGGCCTCCAAAGCCCTGTGTGACCTGGCTCACCCTTGCCCTCTGCACTCTGGCCACCTGCCTCCCATTTTTCTCTAATACTCCACGATCCTCCTCACCTCTGGGCCTTTGCACATGCTGTTCCCTTTGCCTGGAGTGCCTCTCTACCCCTACCTTTTGCTCAGCTAACTCTTACTTACTGACAGATTTTATAATAAATATCATCTCCTCAAGAAAGTGCTCCCTGATCCCCCCGCTGGGTTAGACCCTCTGTCAAACATGCTCCCTCAGTCTGCAGTCTCTGTATGCACATGAAGCCTTTCCAAGTTTCCCTCCAAACATCCTCTCCCTCACGCTCCACTGCAGCCAGAGTGGCCTCCTGCTGTTCCTCAACTACGACCAGCTTCTTCCTGTTCTCAATTCCTGCACTTGCTGTTCCATCCACCTGGAACTCCCTCCCCCCTCTCATCCTCCAGGTGTCAGTTCACATGCCACCTCTAAGAGGGCCTCCTGACTCCTCAGATGAGCTGGGGCCCCTCAGCCTCTCTCACACAGCCTGAGCTTCTCCTCAGTGCAGTGGTTCTCAACCCTCCTGATGCCGTGACCCTTTATTACAGTTCCTCATGTTGTGGTGATCCCCAACCATAAAATTATTTTCGTTGCTACTTTGTAGCTATAATTTTGCTATTGTTATGAATCATAATATAAATATCTAATATGCAGGATGTATTTTCCCATGGTGTTAGGGGTCGCGACCCTCAGGTTGAGAACTACTGCTTTAGTGCCTATTAACATTAGTGATTATTACTATGAAATGCTGATATTGTCAACCTGGCAAGAACAGGGACCTTGGTTTTCTTCAGTGGTTGAGTATCTACTATGTGCTGGGTGTGGGTCTTGCCCTCTATCTTGTTTCCTGCTGTATCTCCAGCACACAGCACAGTGCTTGGCACACAGAAGGTACTCGATCTATATTACCTAATAAAAAGTCAACCTTGGAGGCCAGGTGCAGTGAATCAATGCCTATAATCTCTTACATAAAACAGAGGAGGATCTGGGGCTTCATGGTCATTAGAGGTCCAGGCTTCTCCCTTCCTACCCCACCCTCTCCAGTATTGTACTCACAAGGAGCTGCAGCAGCTGAAGTCAGCATCATAGGCGTAAGTCCCATCTGTGCGGCAGCTCTCACCTGGGACCCGCAGACAGAGAGACTTTCAGAGGTGGCAAAGCAGGGACCAGCATACTTGGCTCCTGGAGGTCCCAACTTCAGCCTCACCCTGGCATCTAGTCCTGCCCCACTGCCAACTTTGGGCAACTCACCTGCCTCCTCTTGGTCCTCAACTTCCCCAACATGGGGAAAATACCACCTTCCTCTCTACCTCATGGGGTCCTTAGGAATAGTAGATGGAGGAACAGATGAGGGAGTGTTTTATAAACTGCATGTGTTTGAGGCAAGACCAAAAAAAAAAAAAAAAGAATTTTGTGAAGGGGAAGGATCTTAAAACCTTCAGAACAAAGAGGCACCATTTACAGAGAACATGCTCTCTTCCTAGTCCTGTTGTTTCATTTATCCAGATAGTAGCAGCTGCCTTCTGATCTCAGCCCACTCAGTGTCACTTCCTGGCCCTGACTTCTCAGGTGAGGCCAGGTCCTCATTGTATGTCCTTGCAGGACAGTCTGTGGTTGTATATTTACTCATGTCAATCACTGCCAGCCAGCTTGGCAATGCAACCTTCATGGAGGCAGGTGCCCACCAGTATGTCCTAGTGATTTAGGACAGGATCTCGCATAGTAGGTGTTCAGTAAGTATTCATTGAGTGAATGAATTTGTTGGGATATTTGTTTGTCATTCTTGTAAGAGCCGATGAACTAACCCAGCAACAAGCACAGTTTCCACAGATGGGAAGGCCCTCAGGAAAAATGAGCCAGCACTCTGTGGCTGCAGCTGGGCACACAGGGACCATGTGGGGACTGTGGCGGAGGGAATTTGCCTACTGGCCTTGAAGGCAGAAGGAAAGGGGTGAGGTTGTTGCAGAAAGGAGCTATGGAATTAGACAGATCTGGGTTTGAATCCTGTCTCTCCCACTTACCTCGAGCATTTTTTTTTTTTTTTGAGACAGAGCCTCAAGCTGTCCCCATGGGTAGAGTGCTGTGGCATTACAGCTCACAGCAACCTGCAGTCTCCTGCCTCCGCCTCCCAAGTAGCTGGGACCACAGGCGCCCGCCACAATGCCCGGCTATTTTTTGGTTGCAGCCGTCATTATTGTTTGGCGGGTCCGGGCTGGGGATTTGAACCCGCCACCCTAGGTGTACGTGGCTGGCGCCTTAGCCGGTTGAGCTATAGGCGCCGAGCCTTACCTCGAGCATTTACTGACTACTCTGAGCCTAACATCCTCATCTGTAAAATTGGAATCAGAAGGCCTCAGAAATTTCTTTCATCCATTCAAAAAATACTTCATGAGCATCTGTGATGTACCCAGTCCCATGGTAGGCACTGGGGATATAGTGACAGACAGGACAGACAAGTCTGCTACTAGAATTAAGACATGGCACATTGGTATTGTGCTTATCATACACAATGAACTGGTGCTCGATGAATGCCTCTATCAGTCTCGTTCTCACTGTAGTTCTTGATTGCATTCAAGAACCTATCTAGAAATCTTGGTTTTGACCGAGGGTCCTAGAAGGGCTGGATGGCTCAGAAGTAGACAATGCATGTGCCTCAGCTTCTGCAAAGCAGGGACATAAGAACGAATGGGAGACAGAAAAGTTCAGCTCTGAGAGGGCTCATTCTGAATCTGGCAACCCAAACCCCTTTGAAGAAGCTAAGTTGGAGGCCATCATGAAAGATGACCTTCTATTTTGCCTACATATTAGGGGTATACTGTAATTATGGTAGCGATCAGGACCCCCAAAGGCTTTCATTGGCCCTGAGTCCTGCAGCATCCTCCTTCCCCTGGCCTTTTAGGATGCTCCACAGGAGGGGAGGCAAGAGTTTGGGTACTCACTGCGGCTGCAGAGCCATGGCCTTTCAGGTGTAGATGTGTAGTGGTAGCCAGCCCGGTCCACACATTCAATGCTCTGGTCCCCATAGATGATCTGGAAGACCTGGCAGATCAATGCGCAGGACTCCTCGGCTGCATCCTGGCCCAGGGAGGAGAGAGAGTTCAGGTCCCCACCAATGATCAGGATGACCCTGCTTTCTAAAACACAGTGCAAAGAGAACCCCTTTAAATTGATTTTGAAGACATTTTCCATCAAAATTATGTGGCTACACTCTGGTCTTGGAAGCTCTTCATAGAATCCACCAACTCTGGCTCCTGTACCACCAAAAATGCACCCCAACTTCTAGAGGATTCATGAGCATTCTTGAAGCTTATCTAAAATAAGCCCTAATTTAGTTTAATGCGTAGGTATGGAAGCTGAGGCCTAGAGAGGGGAAGTGATTAGCCGGTTCTCCTGTTCCTAGGAGGAGGGGAAATAATTAAATGTATCAACATTTTAGGCTCAACATAGTCACTGCCATATTTAGAAATGAGCTTCCTGGCATCCAGTGCAAAAATGAAAGCAAGGGTGAAAACAGAAACTTCAGTCCCTGGTAGAAGGAAAGAGTTTGAGTTCCTGGGTGACTGCAGATTTGAAGAGGGATTTACCTCTTTAATTTACCTCTTTATGCCTTTAAGCATAGAAAGACAATGACTGATAAAGGGACCATCGTCATGAAGCTGTTCCCTATTTATGTCTCTAAAAAAGCTCAAGGTACGAATTAAAATGTAACTCAGGATAGGCATTTTGAGATAGCAGGGGTGCACTAATCACTACAGGAGTGTAATAACCCTACAAAATGGACAGGGAAGAGAGGATCCTTATTTTATACTTAAAGACACTGAGGCTTAGAGTGGTTAAGCGACCTGCCCAGGCTCACACAGAAGGTTCTTGCTATCAATTAATACTGGCACCCAAGTTTTTTGACTCTTAGCTCCTATATCCTCTTCAGGACCAGGATGCCTCAGATGGGAGGTTAGAGGCCCAGACACATCTAGAAAGCAATTCTTCTTTACTCATTCCACAATTCTCACAGAGTCCTATTGTATGGTAGGCACTGGGCCAGGCTCTGTACCCCAAAGCCCTCGCAGTCTGGTGGGATAAAGGGCACATTGTTGCCTTTGTACATGTATGGAATCTATTTCCAGGCTTTTCACTCTGCTAACTCCTTTCTCTCCTTCACATTCCAGTTTAAATGGCAAAAACTCACTTTCCCTGTTGAAAATGGATCTGCTCCCCATTCTCTATCACTGAAACCTGCTTGTTTTCTACTAGGTCTCTATGGTAAGGTGTAATGATATGATTTGCATCAGCTCATCCATTCACTCCACAGATACCACTGAGCACCTGTTACATGCCAGGACCTGTTCTAGGTGCTAGGGATTACCACACTGAACCACCCAGAACGCACAGGCCTCTGCTCTGTACAAGGACTGGCAGGAATGAAGTGGATAAAAGAGAATTAGTGTGCTATTTAACTGGGTATTTGGCACACCTCATATGGGAGGAGCATAACTACAACTTGGACTTTACCTAACAAACAAACAATGTGACCTAATTGTGCCCTCATATTAATCCAGAAAAAAAAATAAAAATAACTAAAAATAAAAGGGGAGAATGGAAAGGATGAGGTGAAGAGGAAATGGGAGTGGTAGCTGGAGCACGAATGGCCTTGTAAACAATTGCAAGGACATTAGTTTTTACTATTAGTAAAAAGGGGAGCCACTGGAAGACTTGAAGCAGTGACAGGATGTGACTTATGTGTTAACAGGGACATTCTGTGTGGAAGAACAGTCTGTAAGCACTGGCTGAACCAGCGAGGAGGTGACTGTATGATCCAGATGAGAGAAAATGGGGCATAGACCTGGGTGGGGACAGTGGAGGGTGGGGAGAAGAGAAAATAGGATTTACTGACAGAATAAATATGAGTGGGGGAGGTGAAAAAGACAGAGAAAGAGAGAGGGGAAGAGAGGGAGGGAGGGAAGGAGTGGGGAGCCGAGGATTACCGCAAGATTTTGGCCTGAGCAACATAAAGATGGAGCTGACATTAACCTAGACAGGGAAACCAAGGGAGTAGCCGGTTTAGGGGAGAAGACTGGAGCCCAGCTTTGGGCATGCTAGGTTTGAGATAGCCATTAGACCTTCCAGTAGAGAGGCTGAGTAAAGATTTGGTGAGAGATGAAATTTGGGGAGTTCTTGTGTCTTAAAAGCTATGAGACTAGAGATCATCTAGAAATGAGGAAATAAAGGAGGGGAAAAGGCCAAGGACCAAACCCAGACGCTCCAACTTTAAGAGTCTGGAGAGAAGAGGAGGAGCCAGCATTTGAGGAGGAGCCAGAGAAGTAGAAGAAAATGCAGGAAGATGAGAGAGCTAGAAGCCAGTGAGGAAGTGTTTTAAGGGGAGGGAGACAGTTACCCTGTCTTGAGTTTACTGGTTATTACCCATCTCACTCTCTAGACAGGCACCGTTTTGTTCACCACTGTTTATATAAAGAGGGAACTGGTGGCCTGGGGCTAGAGGAAGAAGTTGAAGGTGTCTGTTAGACTGTGAGCTCCCTAAGGAAGGTCTTGTTCACCTCTGTGTCTGTAGCACCTACCCCCACGCTTAGCACATAGCTGGCACCCAATAAACATAGTCTAATGGATGAAAGCAAGGGTAAATATGGAAGATGGGGGAGAAAGTAGCAAGGCAGGTATGGCAGGAAGGTTTCTGTCCTGGGTGACTATTAGTTACCAAGAGTAGCAGCTCTGTGGTAGCTCTGCCCTTTGTGGGTCTGAATCTTAAAGGCACTACCTGCATCTCCCCCACCCCACCCCACCCCCCGCCGTGTGATCTTGTCTACTTTATATTTGGATCTCAGTTTCCTTCTCTATAAAATGGGGACACAATAGTTGTAATAGTTGCCTCTAGGGGTTGCTGTGAGAATGAAATGAGTTGATGCTGTCCGGTGTCAGGCGTGAGTTGGCACTCAATTCATGCTGGTGATTAATGAGCTCTGTCACTGTGGCGGTGCTAACATTGACAACACTGGAGAAGCACCAAGGCTGGAGGAGGGGTTAGATCTAATCTGTTTTGGCCATTTTGAGTCTTCACCCCATTCGTGGAGTCAGGGGAGGTCCTGGAGGTGTCCAGGGCTGGAGTTTAGAAGGTATTAGGCGTCATGAGGACGACTGAGTGGATCCTAATGAGGGACAAGGGAAAAGGCAGGGGCAGACCCCAGGAACCTCGAGACCCGGTGCGAGGAGACAGGAGAAGCAGCGTCCTGGAGGCAGAACTTTGGAGCGTGGGTTGCCCTCGGGCTCACCCTGTTGGCCACAGCCAGGATGACCAGGTTGCAGTAGGCATCCGGGCTGGGG